TATTGCAGTACAAGTTGGCATGAACTTGTATTGCAGTACAAGTTGTGTCATGACCTTGTATTGCAGTACAAGTGATATCATGACGTTGTACTGCAGAACAAGTTGTATCATGACCTTGTATTGCAGTAAAAGTTCTATCATGACCTTGTATGGCAGTACAAGTTGTATGATGACCTTGTATGGCAGTACAAGTTATATCATGACGTTGTACTGCAGTACAAGTTGTATGATGACCTTGTATTGCAGTAAAAGTTGTATCATGACCTTGTATGGCAGTACAAGTTGTATGACCTTGTATGGCAGTACTAGTTGTATCATGACCTTGTATGGCAGTACAAGTTGTATCATGACCTTGTATGGCAGTACAAGTTGTATCATGACCTTGTATTGGAGTAAAAGTTGTATCATGACCTTGTATGCAGTACTAGTTGTATCATGACCTTGTATGGCAGTACAAGTTGTATCATGACCTTGTATGGCAGTACAAGTTGTATCATGGCCTTGTATGGCAGTACAAGTTGTATCATGACCTTGTATTGCAGTAATAGTTGTGTCATGACCTTGTACAACATTGTTACATCACACATCCAATGCAGCAGAAGATCACCAAATAACACCAAAATTCATCAGTGATAAAATCATACACCACATATATACATACATTTGACATTTTTAAATGATCTGCGATTATAAATCAAATCAAAACCTAAATCAAGTAAAACATTGAGGAATACACAAGTGAATATATTGCACAAAATAAATCTCAAATAATACGGAATATGTGAAATGGACTGAGCAATCAAAATCAGCAATAAGTAAAGAAGTGCAAGTTTCACACAATTGTTATATCACGGTATGTATGGTGTAGGGACAAGTTAAATGTCAGATAAAAAAAGGGGTGGTGGGGGTAATTAATTGCCCTACAAGTTTTCCATCTGACAAAATCTACCTGATTTCTCAAGGTGTTATATAGTAACTAAACTAAACCGATCCTATTTTCATTCCAATGCTGTTAGGAGTTGTCATAAACACATCCAGTCTTCCACAAGGTTGGGTTTTATCGTTGCCAGCAATAGTATTACCGTATTCGACATAATAAGCGCCCACGGTGATATTTGCTTATATATTGGCAAGTGAACAATCCCAATTAGCATCCCGTCCGATGGATCAATGTACACAAGACTTAAAGTTATTCTTGTGTAATACGCACTCATGTGTTAAATGCATCCTTAATTATGGGCAATTAAATTCGGGAAAAATATATCTGTCATATATAAACATTTCAGGCTGTCAGCATAAACCACGAAATTAACGATCTTTCAACTAATGTATTTTTCACCAAAATAATATTCTAATAAGAGCCTCCTATTTCTAATTTTGAGAGCGCCCTGGGCGCTTATTATGTAGAATGTGGTAAGTCCATCTTGTGCAGGGTGTGATATGGAATGCCAGATTTAATCTATAAAATCCTTTCAAACAATTTTCAACACCTAGTAAATAAACTTCAGTCGATAAACCAAAAAAACCCCGCAGGGGATGCATGACAAAAGAGGGCACGAAACATTTTTGAATTAAGTTTTTGGGGGGAGGTTATGCCTCAAAACTTAAGGAATTAATTGTTTTGTCCGACATCAGAATTTGAACTGGTCCAATATGAGAGAAGATAGGTCAACAAAATGTGTAGACATTTACCGTGTTGGTAAAACCCACGTGCAAAACAATTAACAGTATATATTGACATATCAAGGGCCATAATCAGGATGAATCAGGTAAAGGAAACAAAGATCAGCAGATCCTAACACAACTAAGGGACATAACTCTGCAAGGAATGACATCTTAGTTCTCTGGGCCACTGGTGCCCCCGATAGGTGCAGGAAATCCATCATGGTGTCATCAAAACTTAACTGCCCTAATCATACCACTTTTTTGTGTTTCAACTTTTTCAAACCACTGAAAATTAATTTAACTGTCACATCTATATTGTTGTTTGTAAGATTCCATAATCGTTACCTATCAGTAACACTTTTGGTCAAACAGAATTTAAAAATGAGTCTTAACATGAAAGGACAGCAACATGAACATTAGCCCAGGATAGTGCACGAGTGAGCGAGTAGTAATTTTACATCACATCGAGCCATCATCAGACAATTTACCCAAGTTTTCCTGGTATGTCATATACAATCCAAACATCATCAGATTAATATATTGCAATGAAACATTACAGCTATAAACTTTGGTATACAATATGACATACAGCAACATGTTTTAAGGGAGTGAGGTGAGCAGATTGATTGCTTCCATTTTTCCCAAGCCCCTTCCCAGCGCATGACACCTTCGTTACACTCTCGGTAACATCGCTGCCACCAGTGTGGGCGCGGCCATTACAAGAATCTTGAAGTTTGCCCTCTAACCCAAAATGTAGTAACGTTGATACTTTTGTTTATGTCTTTGGAAATGTCATCATATTTCATTTTGAAAAGGTTTACGACTGACCATGTTTTCCAGATGAATTTACTTTGTTGTTTTAATAATCAGATTGGTTCGAGATTGCAAACGGAAAATTAACTTCTCCCTTACATTCTTACTATATCAATAACACGATAGTTTTAAAGAAACAGAAATTCAAATTGACAAACGAAGAAAGTCATTTAGCAGCGATATGTGTATTCAGCGTCACGACAGTCGTCACTTGTTTGTAAACATAACGGTCTTCGGTTGCGAGTTCAACTCCAAGCATGGTTGTGGCCACCTATTCACAGTGGGGAGTTTTGACTGGTGGCAGCGATAGTATAGAGAGCTCCGCGAACGGGCTATTGCTGTGAGAGCTTGCATTTTTCCTATGAAAGGGCAGATAACTCTGACATGTCTATAGACATGACTGTTCCATTTTCCACAAAATGTTTTAAGAAATAAGGTCTTTGTATCAACTGCCACAACAACACTCTGCGCCCTTTGTAAGACAACATTGTCATGACCAGATTCACAATCACTCATTCAATAGTTTCGTAAGCAGAAAGATAGATCCATATCTCGAGATGTTGCTTCATTTTGGTTAATGCATATTCATATTTCACCATGAAAGAACATTAGAAACATTTTCACAAGACGCGACAAAACAAAAACACAACCATATGTTTCTGTGTCAACACTCTGTGGCGTTCTCATCATGAAATGTTTAGAGGTAGAAGCCAATAAGAAAATGTTTTTGAATAATTTTGACCAAAAAAATATTCAACACCTTAAAAAAAGATATGCATATGAAATGGTCACAAAAGTACATAACAATATGTCCTTTGTTAATTGCATAATTAATATCGAATTGACTATTTGTTAATTAAGCACAGTCAAACGTTCTTGTCCAATAACAATGTCATTATATCGTCACTTTCTTAACTTTCAGAGCCTGTATTTTCAGTTGGATACATTTTCCATTTTACTCTTTGGTTTCATACAATAAATAATTTATTCGAATAACAAATGTGAAAATCTAAAAAAAATGTTTGATGTGTCAGTGCAAAATCATCTTCCCGAGGCAAGAGAGTTAACTGACTTTGAAAGTCCAGTTTCCACCCTTGCCGAACTAGGCTGGAATTCCTGAGCTCGATCGTAGCGCCACCAGTGGCTATTACGAGTTATGTCCTTTCTATGCCTCTCCTATTGACCAATCAGATTCAACTTCTCGTATCACTTGCATTTGTTTCAAACAAAACGGTGGCGCCCAGTCAAGACGATCTGATCGATAATCAAGATCTATATTGTAATAAAACGAGTCTTACATCGCGAAGTGCATCAAATCATGTGAGCACCTTGATTAAAAACATGAAAAGATTTAGAAAAATATCTGTTGACAATGAGTTAGCGGTGCACATGCTTTGCGAATCCTGCAGTCGACCGAAATCTGTATGACACGCTACGAACCGGATTTCGATTTCGGTGCGCGCTTTTGATTGGACTATGCATAGACTCATTAGTCCAGCCAAAATGTAACTCCATAATACCAGCCTAGTTCGGCAAGGGTGGAAACTGGACTTTTATAGTCAGTTAACTCACTTGCCTCGGGAAGATGGTGCAAAATGTACTTTGCTGGTAAAAAGAATCATTATTCCAGCAGACAATGCCGCAGTGATTATACCTGTCGGGTTTAGACTATCAACATTTGAAACGTTTCTCACGATCAGCGAGTGAATGTTGTTTAATGCTGCACTCAGCAATATTCCAGCAATATCATGGCAAACTGTAAACTGTCAAGTCTAGACCAGACAATCCAGTGACTGAAATCAATCCATTCCACGATGGGATGGGGCCACATCAATCTCATTAAAATCAGATCTTAGTTCTCGCTAAAGCTAAACAAAGATCTGAGGACATCCCATTAGGGGTCACGTCAGAACGACCTTTCATCTGACCAATCAGAGCATCGCTTACAAGATTATGAAAGTGACAATCGGAATGTGATTTCTAATCATGTAACCTCGAAAACTTTAACACGGGGTATTCCGAACGATAGTTACGGGTTTAACGACTGAATCTATACAATTTAGACCATCTATTAGCCATTCCAAAATGTTCTTTTGTTCAGGTTTCAAATTTGTAATCGAGAATTTGTCAAAATATGTTTCGAAGCGTAGTCGCCAATTTGAAATTAGTGCCGTAAAGCACGAGAAAGCTGCCTTCTGATTGGCTAATGTCAACTTCTTGTCAGCCATTCCATTGGTCGCTCAAAGTTTGCTCAAGGTCAGTCTGACGTGACGCATAATGGGATGTCCTCAGATCTTTGTTTAGCGGTAGCGAGAACTAAGATCTGATTTTAATGAGATTGGGGACACATCAGCAACACCTGACCCTGACCAGCCGATTTTATTCAGTCATGGGACCCGTGAAGATCCGGGGTAGAATAGGTCTTCAGCAACCCATGCTTGCCGTAAAAGGCGACTATGCTTGTCGTATGAGGCGACTAACAGGATCGGGTGGTCAGGCTCGCTGACTTGGTTGATGCATGCCATCGTATCCAAATTGAGTGGATCAATGCTCATGATGTCAATCACTGGATTGTCTGGTCCAGACTCGATTATTTACAGACTGCCGTCAATATTGCCGAGTGCGGCATTACACAACAAACAAAGGTCAAGTTGACTGGAATAGCTGATAAATTGCTTAGGATGCCGAAGCAACATCCTCGTCATCCCAGAGAGTTTCATGCCACATTGAAGTTTTGAACAGTGTGTCAGTTACAGAAAGGCTTGTCTGTTTAATGTGGGAGGAAAGCCTGAAGTAACCAGGGCAAAGACCACAAGCAAGGGTAAGTTGCTGACCTGCGATCATAATCATAATCAATATTATTACAACTAATTTAAATCATTACAGGTAGGTATCACATGACTAATATAATCTTATGTATCAGGGAAATGACAAGCCTCATTTACACACGTGGGAATGAAATTAGCTACACAATAACACAGCAAATTGATTATTCATTCATTTGTTTTTTTGTCTGAAGTGATAAAGTCTGATGAAACGACAAATTCATCATAAAATTAGAATTTTAAAAACATGGTGATCATAAATTCACCACTGCAAAATGTCACCAATCTTTTGGTAAAATGGTAGAATGTCTCCAATAGATGCATAGATCTAAATAAATAATCAATTTGTTGCTGCCTTAAAAAATTCTCTATGAAAAATACCTGTATGACAATCATTTTATATAATTAGCATTTTTATGTTCACCTTCTTATTTTAATAGGCGAAACATATGCCAACCTGAAGATGTCACATGTATGAGACCCACAAACAATTACCGGTACTGCTTTCCTTATGACTATACATAAGTTGTCACAAACTGCTTTCTGTATGACTAACTATAGATAAGCTGTTGGACTAAATGTAGAAATTTAACCTTTTAGATTAAATTTTAATAGATTAATGTAAATAATGTTGGATACACATGATCAAAATTATATTCTGTTCAGTAAAATAGCTATCTTCACATGTAAAATAGTCTCTGACACACTTAAATTAATGATTGGAATTTGTTCATATTGCACATTTTCCTTTCCAGTCATAAACAAAACAATTTCTTCATTTGACTTTCTTCCGACACTCTTCTCTCATCTGGTCCAGCTTTGAGCGCGGAAATGATCCTGTTAATTCAAAAATATTCTGAAAAATAAAACAGATTTTGTTTAAACATTTCTCATTGGGGCTACTGTATTCGATGTAATAAGTGCCCATGGCGATATTTGCCAAGATATTGGCTAATGAACAATCCCAATTAGCTGCCCTTCCGATTGATCAATCTACACAAGACTTATTTTTTCGTGGATAATATGCACTCGTGGGTTACACGCACCCTTAATTATGGGCAATTAAATTCTGAAAAATATACCACGCTTTGTTCTTTTTGCAAATGTTATGATGAAACTATTGTACACCTCTTTTGGGGAATGTGAACTTGTACAAGTATTGTGGAAAACCTTCTTAGATTGGATAAATAAATGTAACCATATACATCATTTGAAATTAAGTGCTGAACTTGTTTTATTTGGTGCTAAAGAAAATATTGTTACTGACAAAGTTTTAGATCTTCTTATTTTAATAGCTAAATCTTTTATATATTTTTGTAGATTCAAAAAAACAAATCTTTGCTTCACAATATTTCAAAAAGATGTTTGTCTGAGATACAAAATTGAGAAGAATATAGCCTTTACAAATGGTAATGTAGCTACATTTTATAAATCATGGATCTTTTATCACACATTGTTTGAAGAAGCAGAACAGCAATAACATATGTATCTCTTTCTCATATTTGTTTCTTGCCAGGATCAGTGTTTGAATAATATTTTGAATGCTTGACTGTGTGTATGTTTTGTGATATTTCTTAAAAATCACCTTGGCACCATTTCCAACACTTGTATTTAATTTTCCCCAAATGTATACGTACATTGTCTTCAGAATGTGAGGGTGACCATTGCCCTGGATGGCCATCCTCCTCATGTAATGGGGAAAAGGTGAAATAAAATGTTTAAAACAAAAACAAATTCTGACAAATATATCTGTCATGTATAATACACACAGACTTTTCTTTTGTATCATTTAAGGCTGTCAGCATAAACCACGAAATTTACGATCTTTCAACTCTGTTTTTCTCACCAAAATCATATTCTAATAAGAGCCCCCTATTCCTAATTTTGAGAGCGCCCTAGGCGCTTATTACGTTGAATACGGTATGTGTGTATGGAGATCTGAAAGCAGCAGGTGTTAGCTCCCTGGCAGAACGAATTTCCTGACTGAGAATGTATTGCTTATGTTTTAAGAAATATTTTCTTTGTGAGTGAGTGAGTGAGTATGGTTTTTCACCGCTTTTAGCAATATTCCAGCAATTTCACAGCAGGGGACACCAGAAATGGGCTTCACACATTGTACCCATGTGGGGAATTGAACCCAGGTCTTCAGTGTGTTGAGCGAACATATTAACCACTAGGCTACCCCACCACCCCTGCAAGAGTTGAAAACAAGTAAGATTTCCCCATACAAGAACATGTTGCTTAGTTCTCTTAAATAAAGAAATAATTTCCTTAGGCTTTATATATAAAAATGTAACATATTCTTTATTTTTTAATTAAATTATCACTGTAAACAAAACTGAATGTAATCTTGGATAAAAGTGCTATAATGGATTACAAACATAAGTCCAGATACACAATGAACACTTTTATATCCAGAGAGTGTAATAACAGGACTAACTTGCATACTTAAGTACGGATATGTTGACATGCTTCTTCCGGTGTTGTGTGCTCACAATAACGTCTTTGCGTTGTTAAATAATATCAAAGCTCATGGTATGCGTGTATTGTGCACACACTGGTATTCCAAAGGTAGTCAAATACTGTATTCCTGATTTTACTAATCAAGGAATACAGTTCTGTAGGGAGGCCCTGTCCCAGGTTGATTTGGTTACATACCAGTTTGAACACACACACACACACCCCTCTCCCCTTCCAAAAAAAACCCGCCTGCACCATATTTTCAAAAGCCATTGCCTGAGAACCAATTCTTTTATTTTTTTAAGCCCAAAGTGACGTCTGCTCCAAAAGGCCTTCTACTCACCTTCATAAATGTGTGGCAGTCTTGGGTGTGAGGCGTGGAGACGATCATTCGGAACAGGTCCACAGCCTCAGGGAATGTCTTGGTGGCCAGAATCTTCTCCTTGTTAGCTATAACTAGGGTCAAGGCCACGCGATGCAGTATTTTTGTGCCTTCAAAGAACAAGCAGTCCCAGATTCGCAAGACAGTCTGTAAAACAGATGAACAGGAAAGGACACTCATGTATTCGAGGAACAAAAAAAGGTCTTTTGTGCACCCTTGACCAAGAGAGCCATCCCACTGACCATGTCTATAGGATACACATCGATCTAGCAGCTCCCTTCTTCAAACATCATCACAAACATGTAACAAACACAAGACAATAAACTCATCGATATCCACTTCTAGTGAAAAAATATATGAAATTTGGTGCCATGGAAACTCCAAAAATATTTCTTTAAAAAATCCATAACTATCAAAAGGCACCAGTTCACCACTAGATATATCTATGTACTAAGTTAGTGAAGATATATTGTAATGTTTTCAACATCTGCTCCTTAAACAACATCTTGCACAGATAGCATATTCATTTTAATATCCCTCGGAAAACGTGTTGCAGGGAAAAAAGTATAACATACAATGGCAATAGCTGAATGGTATATTGCTGAACACACCATTCACTATCATAAAGGATGACATGAACACATTCACTCACAAAGCATGACATGAACACATTCACTCACAAAGCATGACATGAACACATTCACTAACAAATCATGATATGAACACATTCACACACAAATCATGACATGAACACATTGACAAACAGTCATGACATGAACACATTCACCAACAGTCATGACATGAACCCATTCACCAACAGTCATGACATGAACACATTCACCAACAGTCATGACATGAACACATTCACCAACAGTCATGACATGAACACATTCACCAACAGTCATGACATGAACACATTCACCAACAGTCATGACATGAACCCATTCACCAACAGTCATGACATGAACCCATTCACCAACAGTCATGACATGAACACATTCACCAACAGTCATGACATGAACCCATTCACCAACAGTCATGACATGAACCCATTCACCAACAGTCTTGACATGAACCCATTCACAAACAGTCATGACATGAACCCATTCACCAACAGTCATGACATGAACACATTCACCAACAGTCATGACATGAACCCATTCACCAACAGTCATGACATGAAAACATTCACCAACAGTCATGACATGAACCCATTCACTAACAAATCATTACATGAACACAACACATGAAGTCTTTGAGAGGCATTTAGAAGTTCAGAGAACATGAACACATCAAACTTTCTCTTAGAAAAAGTTGCTATCCAAAAAATGTATGTATTTATTTGTTGTTTAACAGCTATATGATGGCAGCCTGTAAATAATCGGGTCTGGACCAGACAATCCAGTGATTGACATCATGAGCATCGATCCACGCAATTGGGATTTGATGACATGTATCAACCAAGTTGGGCGAGCCTGACCACCCGATCCGATTAGTTGCCTCTTACGACAAGCATAGTCACCTTTTACGGCAAGTATGGGTTGCTGAAGACCTATTCTACCCCGGATCTTCACGGGTCGCTATCCATAAAAAGTGTCATGTATTCACTCACTCATGATATCATCACTGGCTTTTGGAAACACAAAGTATCTTCACCTGGAATCCCATGGGAAAACAATATCCCATGAAAGAAATTTCAACACTTATTTTCTGTGGACTCGGCTCAAGGAGGGTTGTGTAATGTGTAGCAGATTGTGTAACTGTTCTCACCTCGACGGGCATGACGTCTGCGAAGAGACAGATGAACCACTTCATGCCCACCAGACACCACTGCACCCCGAGAGCCTCCATGTGAGCTGCCACCTCCGGCAACTTCCATCTGTAACACAAGCAGGGAATGTTTTACATTCAGCATGTCCCTGAGTTTGTTGAAAGCCGGGGCGGTCGGGTAGCCTAATGGTTAAAGTGTTCACTCGACACACCGAAGACCCGGGTTCGATTCCCGACATGGGAACAATGTGTAAAGCCCATTTCTGGTGTTCCCCGCCGTGATACTGCTGGAATATTGCTAAAAGCGGCGTAAAACCATACTCACTCACTCACTGTATAAAGCCCCTCAGAACATGACCTGTGTCCTTACTGTGGCAAGTGCAGATATTTGTAAAAGGAGGGTTGCATTTTGAGACAAGTTAACATACAAGAATATTTGGTAGTTTGTGTCATTTTTGTTGGAGAGATATATAGGCATGAGTTAGTTATCATGGTAACAGTGTTGTAATGTGCACACACTCAGAGTACAGGAGCAGCTATAGAGTGTTTGTTGTTTATGTTCAGTGTGCTACTCCCCAGCAGAAAGAAAGCTACGTACTTCACCACGTCCCCCACGAGTTCTTGCTCTGCTTGCAGGGCCTTCATGTCTGGGAAATAGTACCCTGGAACACAGAAACATCCATCAGTATACACAAACATCCATCAGTACACAAACATCAATCAGTATACACAAACATCCATCAGTATACACAAACATCCATCAGTATACACACACATCCATCAATATACACAAACATCCACCAGTACACACAAACATCCATCAGTATACACAAACATCCATCAGTATACACACACATCCATCAGTATACACAAACATCCACCAGTACACACAAACATCCACCAGTACACACAAACATCCATCAGTATACACACACATCCATCAGTATACACATACATCCATCAGTATACACACACATCCATCAGTGTACACACACATCCATCAGTACACACAAACATCCATCAGTACACACACACATCCATCAGTATACACACATCCATCAGTATACACACATCCATCAGTATACAAACATCTATCAGTATACACACACATCCATCAGTACACACACATCCATCAGTATACACACACATCCATCAGTATACACACACATCCATCAGTATACACACACATCCATCAGTATACACACACATCCATCAGTATACACAAACATCCATCAGTATACACACACATCCATCAGTATACACACACATCCATCAGTATACACACACATCCATCAGTGTACGAAAACATCCATCAGTATACACACACATCCATCAGTACACACAAACATCCATCAACATACACAAACATCTATCAATATACACAAACATCCATCAGTATACACAAACATCCATCAGTGTACACACATCCATCAGTATACACAAACATCCATCAGTATACACAAACATCCATCACTATACACAAACATCCATCAGTATACACACACATCCATCAGTATACACAAACATCCATCAGTATACACAAACATCCATCAGTATACACAAACATCTATCAATATACACACACATCCATCAGTATACACACACATCCATCAGTATACACACACATCCATCAGTATACACAAACATCCATCACTATACACAAACATCCATCAGTATACACACACATCCATCAGTATACACAAACATCCATCACTATACACAAACATCCATCAGTATACACACACATCCACCAGTATACACAAACATCCATCAGTATACACAAACATCCATCAGTATACACACACATCCATCAGTATAAACAAACATCCATCAGTGTACACACACATCCATCAGTGTACACAAACATCCATCAGTATACACACACATCCAACACATCTATCAGTATACACACACATCCATCACATCTATCAGTATACACAAACATCCATCAGTATACACAAACATCGATCAGTACACACAAACATCCATCAGTATACACAAACATCCATCAGTATACACAAACATCCATCAGTATACACACACATCCAACAGTATACACAAACATCCATCAGTATACACACATCCATCAGTATACACAAACATCCATCAGTATACACAAACATCCATCAGTGTACACAAACATCCATCAGTATACACAAACATCCATCAGTATACACAAACATCCATCAACATACACACACATCCATCAGTACACACACATCCATCACATCTATCAGTATACACAAACATCCATCAACATACACACAAACATCCATCAGTATACACAAACATCCATCACATCTATCAGTATACACACATCCATCACATCTATCAGTATACACAAACATCCATCAACATACACACAAACATCCATCAGTATACACAAACATCCATCACATCTATCAGTATACACACATCCATCACATCTATCAGTATACACAAACATCCATCAGTATACACACACATCCATCAGTACACAAACATCCATCAGTACACAAACATCCATCAGTACACACACACCCATCACATCTATCAGTATACACAAACATCCATCAGTATACACACACATCCATCACATCTATCAGTATACACAAACATCCATCAACATACACACAAACATCCATCAGTATACACACACATCCATCACATCTATCAGTATACACAAACATCCATCAGTATACACACACATCCATCACATCTATCAGTATACACAAACATCCATCAACATACACACAAACATCCATCAGTATACACAAACATCCATCACATCTATCAGTATACACAAACATCCATCAGTATACACAAACATCCATCAGTATACACAAACATCCATCAGTATACACAAACATCCATCAACATACACACAAACATCCATCAGTATACACACACATCCATCACATCTATCAGTATACACAAACATCCATCAGTATACACACACATCCATCACATCTATCAGTATACACAAACATCCATCAACATACACACAAACATCCATCAGTATACACACACATCCATCACATCTATCAGTATACACAAACATCCATCAGTATACACACACATCCATCACATCTATCAGTATACACACACATCCATCAGTATACACACACATCCATCAGTGTACACAAACATCCATCAGTATACACAATCATCCATCAGTACACACACACATCCATCAGTGTACACAAACATCCATCAGTGTACACAAACATCCATCAGTGTACACAAACATCCATCAGTGTACACAAACATCCATCAGTATACATAAACATCCATCAGTACACACACACATCCATCAGTGTACACAAACATCCATCAGTGTACACAAACATCCATCAGTACACACACACCCATCAGTATACACAAACATCCATCAGTGTACACAAACATCCATCAGTGTACACAAACATCCATCAGTACACAAACATCCATCAGTACACAAACATCCATCAGTATACACAAACATCCATCAGTATACACAAACATCCATCAGTATACACAAACATCCATCAGTATACACAAACATCCATCAGTACACAAACATCCATCAGTACACAAACATCCATCAGTACACAAACATCCATCAGTATACACACACATCCATCAGTGTACACAAACATCCATCAGTATACACAAACATCCATCAGTGTACACACACATCCATCAGTGTACACAAACATCCATCAGTGTACACAAACATCCATCAGTATACACACACATCCATCAGTATATACAAACATCCATCAGTATACACAAACAGTCATCAGTATACACACACATCCATCAGTATACACAAACATCCATCAGTATACACAAACATCCATCAGTATAGACACACATCCATCAGTATACACACACATCCATCAGTATACACAAACATCCATCAGTATACACACACATCCATCAGTATACACAAACATCCATCAGTATACACACACATCCATCAGTATACACACACATCCATCAGTATACACAAACATCCATCAGTATACACAAACATCCATCAGTACACAAACATCCATCAGTATACACAAACATCCATCAGTATACACAAACATCCATCAGTATACACAAACATCCATCAGTATACACACACATCCATCAGTATACACACACATCCATCAGTACACAAACATCCATCAGTACACACACATCCATCAGTATACACAAACATCCATCAGTACACAAACATCCATCAGTATACACAAACATCCATCAGTATACACAAACATCCATCAGTATACACAAACATCCATCAGTATACACACACATCCATCAGTATACACACACATCCATCAGTACACAAACATCCATCAGTACACACACATCCATCAGTATACACAAACATCCATCAGTACACAAACATCCATCAGTATACACAAACATCCATCAGTATACACAAACATCCATCAGTATACACAAACATCCATCAGTATACACACACATCCATCAGTATACACAAACATCCATCAGTATACACAAACATCCATCAGTATACACACACATCCATCACATCTATCAGTATACACAAACATCCATCAGTATACACAAACATCCATCAGTACACAAACATCCATCAGTATACACAAACATCCATCAGTATACACACACATCCATCAGTGTACACAAACATCCATCAGTATACACAAACATCCATCAGTACACACACACATCCATCAGTATACACACACATCCATCAGTACACACACACATCCATCAGTATACACACACATCCATCAGTATACACACACATCCATCAGTATACACACACATCCATCAGTATACACACACATCCATCAGTGTACACAAACATCCATCAGTATACACAAACATCCATCAGTACACACACACATCCATCAGTGTACACAAACATCCATCAGTGTACACAAACATCCATCAGTGTACACAAACATCCATCAGTGTACACAAACATCCATCAGTATACATAAACATCCATCAGTACACACACACATCCATCAGTGTACACAAACATCCATCAGTGTACACAAACATCCATCAGTACACACACACCCATCAGTATACACAAACATCCATCAGCACACAAACATCCATCAGTACACACAAACATCCATCAGTATACACAAACATCCATCAGTATACACAAACATCCATCAGTATACACAAACATCCATCAGTACACACACACCCATCAGTATACACAAACATCCATCAGTACACAAACATCCATCAGTACACAAACATCCATCAGTATACACACACATCCATCAGTGTACACAAACATCCATCAGTATACACAAACATCCATCAGTGTACACACACATCCATCAGTGTACACAAACATCCATCAGTGTACACAAACATCCATCAGTATACACACACATCCATCAGTATATACAAACATCCATCAGTACACACAAACAGTCATCAGTATACACACACATCCATCAGTATACACAAACATCCATCAGTATACACAAACATCCATCAGTATACACACACATCCATCAGTATACACACACATCCATCAGTATACACAAACATCCATCAGTACACACAAACATCCATCAGTATACACACACATCCATCAGTATACACAAACATCCATCAGTATACACACACATCCATCAGTATACACAAACATCCATCAGTACACACACACATCCATCAGTATACACAAACATCCATCAGTACACAAACATCCATCAGTATACACAAACATCCATCAGTATACACAAACATCCATCAGTATACACACACATCCATCAGTATACACAAACATCCATCAGTATACACACACATCCATCAGTATACACACACATCCATCAGTATACACACACATCCATCAGTATACACAAACATCCATCAGTGTACACAAACATCCGTCAGTATACACACACATCCATCAGTATACACACATCCATCAGTACACACAAACATCCATCAGTATACACACACATCCATCAGTATACACAAACATCCATCAGTATATACAAACATCCATTAGTACACAAACATCCATCAGTATACACAAACATCCATCAGTATACACAAACATCCATCAGTGTACACAAACATCCATCAGTATACACAAACATCCATCAGTATACACAAACATCCATCAGTGTACACACACATCCATCAGTATACACAAACATCCATCAATATACACATACATGCATCAGTATATACAAACATCCATCAGTACACACAAACATCCATCAGTACACACACACATCCATCAGTATACACAAACATCCATCAGTATACACAAACATCCATCAGTATACACAAACATCCATCAGTATACACACACATCCATCAGTATACACACACATCCATCAGTATACACACACATCCATCAGTATACACAAACATCCATCAGTGTACACACACATCCATCAGTATACACACACATCCATCAGTATACACACATCCATCAGTACACACACACATCCATCAGTATACACAAACATCCATCAGTATACACACACATCCATCAGTATACACAAACATCCATCAGTATACACACACATCCATCAGTATACACAAACATCCATCAGTACACACAAACATCTTTTTATCTTTTACCAAAAACATAAAGATCTTACCATCTCACCTGGTAATATATTTCTAATATAATCTCTATATCTCACCTGATAATATATATAGCTGGCATAAGATATATATATATATACAGGTATCACATTTCATAACGTATTGTTTGATATCTAATATATCTCACCTGGTAATTAACATATCAAATATCTCACCTGGTAATATATTATTGATGAGCGTGTCCATCAACCAGAACACCTTGTCTTCATCCCTCACGATGAGAAGGAGGAGGCCGACAATGAAGTTTAGACCCTAATCGAACAAAATAAATGTAAACAGTAAACAGTTATTGTTGCCATACATGCACACGTACATCTTCTCGAGGTAAGAAAGTTAACTGACCATAAAAGTCCAGTTTCCACCCTTGCTGAACTAGGCTAGAATTATGGAGTGATAATTTGGTAGGTAATTTAAGGCACTGACGTTTACCAATCAACTCAACTCGGAAGGGAATATGGACTCCCTACGCTAACACCGTATTCGTGCGTGCGTGATTCCCGTGCACCCTTTCGAGTTGAGTTGATTGGTTCAACTGTGTCATATGACCCCGTGACGCAGGGGTAGCATTATGCAGATGGCTGTTACAATGTTGCGTTCCTTGGGCACGTCCCAAAAATTTGATTGTGGGTTTGAATCCGGGTCTTCCCTGATTCTGTTTCTAGGTTTGTCAGCACAATAGCCAAGCCCATGGTAAGTGGCAAGTGTCTAGTTACGTCCCTTGGGTATGCCAGAAACCTATGATAGTGGGTTCGAATCCCGGTTCGCCCCGATTAAGTTTCTAGGTTTGTCAGCACTATACCCGTGCTTGTGGGTTTCTCCATAGAGGTAAACGTCTGAGACCTGCATCACTTCGGGCTTTCCTCCGCATCAATCTGACACGCCGTGATATAACTGGAATACTGTTAAAAGCGGCGTTAACTCTTTCAACACCAGTCAACCAGAAGTGTTTACTGCTGGGACACCGAGTTCCCAGAGACTCTTGTGTGATAGATGAAGCCAACATTTATCAAAGAAAATACCTGCTTGTAAAATATATTTGCTACTACATGTTACACACCATTTGAAAGGTCTGATCCTATGGTTTATAAATATGAAAGTTATATTTTTCAAATTATTTAAAATAATGCATTTACAACTTAATTAAATTCGTTGTAAATAAAAAATGTACGCTAACACGTTGTTAACATCCAGATTAAGGACCAAGGAAGCGAAAACTTGACGATTTTCGGCAAATATATGATTTCATAATATCCACGTACCTATTTCTGTTTTATTTTCATTGTTTACGTAATTGGAAAATCATTTTAAAAAGAATTATAAATAGTTTCTGTCATCACCCATTTCCCGATAACAGCGACTGTCCGCTCAGTAAAATGAAGAAATACCCCCGTTTTCGAGGTTTTGTATGAATAACACGTTCGTCGAAGAATGGCATATGACACATCGCTGGAAAGCTTATTCCTTCATCTACACGCTCGTAACATCGACTGGTTTTTTTTCGTAGTTATAACAAGCGATTTCATTGGATTAAAATTGGTTTCTAATGACGCTTTCTTGCTGAAATCTGCTACAAGTTTCGTGATTGGTCAATTTTGAGCACGTGACCTAAGGCAGCCAATCAAACTACAGCTGTGATACCAAGCTCGTGTTCGATAAATTACAGAAGTTTGCGAAAGAATTTTGTTTAAATGGTGTTATTCTGAACGTTTTGAGCGGGAAATCACGATATATATTAAAAATATGGAACTTCGTGAATGTATCGTGCTAGGTTACGAGCTGTGACAAAGATTTTTCATGCATATATTTTTGCATTAAACATCGTGTCCGAGCCGAGAATTCAAGGCGACGAAAGCCGAGATGTCATTTGACTTACATTACACGCGATCGCACGAAAAGATGGAAATAATAACTTAGATGTAAGTTTGATTACTTTTAGATATATTTTTGTTGATTTTATTTATTACTTTGTATAATATATTTAAAGATTTGTTTAAAACGTCTTTATTTTCCTCTTTGACGTGTTCGATGTGGACCCGTTGTCGAAATGTGTGTCCGAGAATTTTATTTTCAATAACATCGCGAGAAATAGTGAATAATTTTTTAATTAAACGATAAAAAATGTTAAATTGAAATGGAATATGTATTTCAGACATTGTGAAATGTGATAGATTTAATAAATGAATGACATTACAGGTAGGTCCATAAAAATTAATACTATTTTGACGTGACTACGGCTTGGCCGGATAACCGGCCTGCGGTGTCTGGGGACTCGATGCTTCTTGGCCGGATAACCGGCCTACGGTGTTGAAAGAGTTAAGCCAACACATTCACCCATTCGTAATATAGATTGTTTACAGGCCACCACCACATAGTTGAATATTGCTGTGTTAGACATTAAACATAAACCTAAGTGACAGCTCCTCAACAAAGTTGCAAATTTTGCAAAATTCTGTAAACAATTCTGAATGCATGGTCTTGTCCTCTGTCCAGTATAAAACTTATTTGCAAATATTTTCAAATTGACAGCCATCTGTTGAATGAAATATCGACTCTATAATGAACTTTTAAGTCTAGTGTAAGTTTGAAATCTAATCCAACCGAACTAAATCAATATTTCTGAGTACCATCAAAACTGTTAAAAGATCATATTTCTGTATGTCCTGCAATTAGTACATTCATTTCAGGCTCGACTGTAGGTTTATTATTGCTTTCAACTTTGGAATTCTGCAATAAAAATTCCTTAATTAACAATTTATCACAATCCTTTGCCTGTGTGAGTCCAATCATCAATTAATGAAGTCCATCCCTGAAGATCCAGGGGTAGAATACTGGTCTTCAGCAACCCTGTGAAAGGCGACAATGCTTGTCGTAAGAGGTGTCTAACGGGATCGGGTGGTCGGGCTCGCTGACTTGGGTGATGCATGTCATCGTATCACAGTTGTGTGGATCTATGGTCGTGATATCAATCACTGGATTGTCTGGCCCAGGCTCGATCATTTACAGACCACCGTCATATAGCTGGAATATTAGTCCCGTTAGTTGCCTTTTAGGACCTGCATGGGTTGCTGAAGACCTATTCTAACCTGGGGATTCAGGGTCTATGGATATAATGAACACATTTGACCAGTCGCCTGGTGTTCGGCATAATCATGTTTTAAGTGTATGTGTGTTTACTTCTTAATTTACACCCAGGCCACAATTTAAGGAACTTGATTTTAAGGCAAGCATGAGTTGCTGAAGATCAATTCTAACCCGGATCTTCCCGAGTCATTATTATGTGACCATGCACAATCTTGAACATAACACAGACAGACAGATACATATGTATATAATACACATGGAAACAGTAAAGCATTGTTTTCTACTTATTTCCACATGGAAAAACCTTAGAAAGATAAAATCCTGTATATTCTGCTTGTTTCCAGGTGTTTTTAAAAGTAAAGAAAGTTTAAGTAAGATGAGCAGTTGTTTACCTGACAGTATCCCACTTGGGTGTTATTCTTGGCCACTGCCGACAAGACTCGACACAGGGGTTTCCGTAGACCATTGGCATCCACTGTGTCAGCAAAATGGATGTTTTCCGGGAATGTTCGATGTATATCTACAACAGAACATGAATGAGTGAGTGAGTGAGTGAGTGAGTGAGTGAGTGAGTGAGTGAGCATCTTCCCGAAGCAAGGGAGTTAACTGACTTTAAAAGTACAATTTCCACCCTTGCCGAACTAGGCTGGAATTCCTGGGCTCGATCGTAGCGCCACCAGTGGTTATTACGAGTTATATCCCTTCTAAGCCTCTCCTATGGACCAATCAGGTTCCACCTCTCGTATCACTTGCATTTGTATCCAAAAAAATGGTGGCGCCCAGTCAAGACGATCTGATCGATAATCAAGTTCAATAGTGTTATAAAAGGGGTCTTACATCGCGAAGTGCATCAAATTGCATGAGCACCTTGATTGAAACATGAAAAGATTTGGAAAATATTTGTTGACAACAAGATAGTCAGTTAACTCTCTTGCCTCGGGAAGATGGTAAGTGAGTGAGTGAGTGTCAGTCAGTCAGTCAGTCAGTCAGTCAGTCAGTCAGTCAGTCAGTCAGTCAGTCAGTCAGTCAGTCAGTCAGTCAGTCAGTCAGTCAGTCAGTCATATCACAGCATGTCAGCTTGAAGTGGGAGGAGAGCCTGGAGTGATGCACGTCTAAAACATTTACCACTTGAAATTCATGAACACAAATATGGTGCTGACAAACCTAGAAACATATTCAGGTCGAATCAGATTTGAACCCACAATCACAGATTTCCACCAAAGGGCCACAACTCTCATCCTCATCCTCATCCTTCAAACATGGCCACCTATGACCCTGGCTCTGATACAATGGAAAGTACAGGAAACTAACCCGCAGCAGAGATGGATTGGGGATATGGAAAGAGAAGCAATGAACACAACACGAATCAGTGAACAGAAACACACATAGGGACTGACATAGGCTGTTGTGAAAGAGGTAAAAAAAAAGAGGGGCTACAAAAATTGGCACACCAAGTTAAGATCGAGATTAGGTTGATTTGTGACATGGGTGTAACTTCAGACTACAGCTACCTCAACTCTAACCTCAGTACCTAGTGTTGAAAGCAGCTGAGCTTGCATTGAGCAAGGGGGTCCAACCTGTCGCCACACTGACATCTGCAATCACCTCGCAGTAGGCAATTTACAACCTGTTGTACAATGGGTATGAGCTGTTGAGTGTCTGCACAGTGTATGTGGACGACTGTAAACACACCGAGTAGGTCCCTTAGGCTTACTGACTCTGGGATCGTGTGGTGAATTTGATAAGATGAATGCTTATTTCCATTTCATAAATGTATGCAATTATAATATCATGTCATAACCTCACCCTATTAATTTCTCAAATTTGTAATGTTCTTCCAATTTTAGGTGAGGAAGGACAGACAAAAATTCTAATTTTTTATATATTTATTTTAAATATTTTATTAACATGTATTCTTTAGGTATATATCTAAACATAAATAAGCTTGACAGGTGTTAACACAGACTGCCGGGGTTAGTGAGTGAGTGGAGTTTAAGATGTTTCAGTTACATATTCACTGCAAATCAGCTTCATGTTTCAGGTGAGGTGAGGGGGCATGGGGTTTAACGTCGCGTCCAAGATTATTGCACTTATATAGCAACGTGCACGTACGTGTGTGTGTTTGTGTGGCTGCTTGTACCAGTCCGAACTGACGTCGATTTATAGTGCTAGCTTACTGAGATACCATACCGCAGTTTAACATGAATACCCCATTCAGACACAGTTTACTGACTCCGAGCCGACAAGTCCTTGTTTCAGCCCCTTAATTCCTAGCGCCAGACTGGGTAATAACAAGTGCCATCTTTAACGTCTTTTGGTATGAGGCGGCCGGGGTTGAACCCCTGACCTTCCGCTCTCCGGGCAGACGCTCTACCACTAGACCATGGAGGCGGCTTCATATTTCAGACATCACACAGTGACGCAGGTCATGGACATTTGCCTCTCTTGTGAGGCCCGCAGAATGGATGCTGAGCTGACAAACAAAGGACATCTCTGGGATTCAAACCCATTATCAGCAACTTTTCACAACAAAGGGGAGCAACTCTTCACAATGTAGTAACAATGTAGTAACAATGTAGTGACAATGTTGTGACAATGTAGTGACAATGTAGTGACAATGTAGTGACAATGTTGTGACAATGTAGTGACAATGTTGTGACAATGTAGTGACAATGTAGTGACAATGTTGTGACAATGTAGTGACAATGTAGTGACAATGTAGTGACAATGTTGTGACAATGTAGTGACAATGTAGTGACAATGTTGTGACAATGTAGTGACAATGTTGTGACAATGTAGTGACAATGTTGTGACAATGTTGTGATAATTTAGTGACAATGTTGTGACAATGTAGTGACAATGTAGTGACAATGTTGTGACAATGTAGTGACAATGTAGTGACAATGTAGTAACAATGTTGTGACAATGTAGTGACAATGTAGTGACAATGTTGTGATAATGTAGTGACAATGTAGTGACAATGTTGTGACAATGTAGTGACAATGTAGCGACAATGTTGTGACAATGTAGTGACAATGTTGTGACAATGTAGTGACAATGTAGTAACAATGTTGTGACAATGTAGTGACAATGTAGTGACAATGAAGTGACAATGTAGTAACAATATAGTGACAATGTTGTGACAATGTAGTGACAATGTAGTGACAATGTAGTAACAATGCAGTGACAATGTTGTGACAATGTTCTATCGACCTTGAGATATTAAATGATGTCAAAGACTTTCTTAACCTATTGTTCAGACTTAACCGTGCGTACATGTTATTAAGTAATTAAGTAGCTAAGTGTAGTATCCTCATCCAAAAATCACCACATAAAAGGAAGGAGGTAGTGTAACTTAACAAATGATCTATTTGTATGCAGTGTGAGGAACCTAGTGTGAACAAGACAAATCATGTACCAAGGTTAATGGCACACTTGACGGGGTGTGTGTCGTCTAGCTGGTTGTCAACAAGACGCTGGTAGAGTTCCGGGTCCGCCATCCTTCTCTGCTCCGCACCACTCACAACCATCCACACCTGTTTCCATGGCAACAAATGTGTAAAGGATGTCAATCTAGTTGACCATGTCCTGCTCAGACACTTTGAAATATACTACCATTTATTACATCATGAACACATCAAAGCAAAGCAAATTAACACTGATCTCAGTATCTGTATATCTATGATCTATATATTCTACTGTTGTGGGGTAAGTACATTAAGAAATGTACAATCTACAAATTCCTAATACATTTACAAATTCAAAAAAAATTCTGATCTTTTAAGGTTTCAATAAAAGTTATCAAAACTATAAAACAATAGCAAAATATAAGGGTTTTTAAAAAATAAATAATTCATTCTCACTCATAGTTTTAAAACTTTCTTCAATAAATTTAATTTGTGAATGAATTGAAATTGGAGTATGTGGCCATATCTTGACATTTCTTCAAGCCAAAACCATGGAGATTACCGCATTACCCTCCATAACAACATACCAGTACCTTTAACTGACATGTCCTTATTGGCATGGCCCCGTAATGATATTTAATGATTCAATAACTTTGTCAGGGCCCAGCTAGTATGTATGTAGTATTAAAGAATTTATCTGATAAAATTGCGATTTTGTTTTTTATTTCAATTCAAGTTTCAAAACCACTCACATCAGCTCTTATACCTGATGGTATTCCCTTCCTGCAAAACCTTTTAACTGAAAAGAAAATAGGAAATCATCAAAAGAACTGATATGAATACAAACATTTCAGTATCAAAAAGTGTAAAAGAAATTAATTCAAATAAGCCAAATTTGTATATTTTTTTTTAAAATAATTGAAACACAGCATGCCAAGGGCACACAGTTTGGACTCCTAGATAAATATGTGGAGAGAAATTAATTAAACTGTAGCATTTACAAACGGTTTATCTGACATCTGAAAAGAAATACAATCAATGTTTGGATGTTCCATGTCAGCTCAAACACAAAGTTTGGAATCAAACAAGGAAACAATAAAGAGTATTTGCCATCACACATACTCTCACCCGTGAAGATCCGGGGTAGAATAGGTCTTCAGCAACCCATGCTTGCCGTAAAAGGCGACTATATGCTTGTTGTAAGAGGTGACTAACGGGATCGGGTGGTCAGGCTCGCTGACTTGGTTGATGCATGTCATTGTAACTCCAGGGATTGCTACTCATGATGTCAATCACTGGATTGTCTGGTCCACACTTCATTATTTACAGTCATATAGCTGGAATATTGCCGAGTGCGGCGTTAAACAAAAAGCAAACAAAAACTAACAAACAAACAAAAAGAAACAAACATCCCCTTAATGCCGAATGCCAGGCAGGGAAACAACAAGTACAATCTTTTAGCATTTTCTGGTATGACACGGTCAGGGTCCAGGCTAAGGTTGGTTGGTTTGTTGTTCAACACCGCACTCAGCAATATTCCAGCTATATGACGGCGGTCTGTAAATAATCGAGTCTTGACCAGACAATCCAGTGACTAATATCATGAGCATCGATCCACGCAATTGGGATCAATGACATGCATCAACCAAGTCAGCGAGCCTGACCACCCGATCCCGTTAGTCGCCTTTTACGACAAGCATAGTCACCTTTTACGGCAAGCATGGGCTGCTGAAGACCTATTCTACCCCGGAATCTTCACGGGTCAGCCAGACTAAGGTAAATCTCCGCAAGGCATCTTGCTTACTACTGAATTATATCACTGCTTCATGGCTGTCAAACTATACACAGATGAACAAATTATCACTTGACTTCAGCCTGAATGTGAAGCAGAAATATGTATTTTCATGATCATTCAGTGACGAAACAAAATACACTTCCTTCTTAACAGCAACCCACGCATGCCGTAAAAAGGTGACTATGCTTGTCATAAGAGGCGACTAACGGGATTGGGTGGTCAGGCTCGCTGACTTGGTTGATACATGTCATCGATCCCAATCGCGTGGATCGATGCTCATGATGACAATCACTGGATTGTCTGGTCCAGACTCAATTATTTTACTGACCGATGTCATATAGCTGGAATATTGCTGAGTGCGGCGTTAAACAACAAACAAACAAACAAAAAGATAATTTCATGAATTATATGTTTAAGAAAATCCATGTTTCATTCAATGGTTATCCAGAGATTTATCTGAGTTCCAAACTAAATGTTCTTGGGAGCCAAATTGGGAAAAATCGTCATTTTGTTAAGAATTAGGATTTTTTAAAAGTTCTTATTTTCCGCAATTCAGAAGTATTTTAACATTGAATTTTAACATTGCATTCAATGCAATAACGTTGAACTATTATTCCTTTTTATTGGTCCTGTTGTCAGTGAAATACAAGTCACCTCACAAAGCCATAACATTAGTCATTACTATAACATGAATTGGGAAATGTTTAATTACAATTTGGAAATCTTGCTGACATTTGCTGGCTGCAGACTTGTAGCGGACAATTGGCCCCTCATCAGGCCTAGATAAAACCCATGGTATCATGAAAATGAGCTATATCTGTTTCAAGGGATATTCAGAAATGTTTTAAAATATTTTATATGTACTTGTTGAATATGATAGAGGTTATCCACACCTAGATTACATGAAGTTTCCGGTTAGATAAGGGTGAGATATCACTGGGACTCACTGCTAGAATGTAGGAGGATTTTCATGGTGATTCGGTGGTATAAAGGTTAGAATTTCACTGTGATTTGGTTTGAGGAAAAGGTGAAATTTCACTGTTATCGGGTGGGTATAAAAGGTGAAACTTCACTGTTTCTCGGGTGGGTATAAAAGGTGAAATTTCACTGTTATCGGATGGGTATAAAAAGTGAAATTTCACTGGTGTTGGGTGGGAATAAAAGGTGGAATTCTCCTAGTGTTGGGTGGGATAAAAGGTGGAATTTAACTGGTGTTGGGTGGGAATGACAGGTGCAATTTCACTGGTGTTGGGTGGGAATATAAGATGGGTGATAAAAGGAATCAACCATCAGTATTAAAAGAAATGCACTAACTTTTTCGAGATTTTGAAATGTCTGTAGTCTGATCTCCGACAGTTTTTTTCCACCTCTGCGCCCGCCGCGCCAACACGGACAAGTAGGAAGCCATGAATTCTTCATACGACTTAAAGTCGAAGTCTTCCGGTCGCTCAAACCCATAGCCGTCGACTTTGCTGAAAAAACAAAAAGTAAAATAAGTTCCTGGCTCCAGAAGTGGGATATAATAGGGCTCCATGCCACTTTCAGACATATTTGCTAGAAACACTTTGGAAGTTGAATCCACAATAAAATCACAAGACCATGTGTCGACACAAAACAACACATGAATACAATGTACAATATGACTTATACAGGCATGTGATTGAAGGATGACAAAAAAAACTAAAAAACAACCCAGGGAGTTGCATTAGAATCCTCAAGCAGCGGTTGAAAAAATAAATAAATGCCAGGCTGCCATCAGGACTCAAAGATATTAGAGTGTGTGTGAATTGGGTTTAATGCCATTTTTAACAATATTCCAGTTATATCACGGCGTGTTAGCTTAATGTGGGAGGAAAGCCCAAAGTGATGCAGGTCTCAGACGTTTACCACTTCGGTGAAACCCACGAGTACGGGTATGGTGCTGACAAACCTAGAAACATAATCGGGGCGAACCGGGTTCGAACCCACAATCATAGGTTTCTGGCGTGCCCAAGGGACACAACTCTGCACAGCGAATCGCGGCGCCTTAGACGACTAAGCCACCCATGCCCCCCACAGATATTAGAAGCTGCAGGTCCTGACTAAATACTTTGGACTTTGGACCCTCATGTAAAAAACTGTATCTGACTGTGACAAAATAACACAACACGTAAATTTACTGCAGGCCATAAGGAACAATACAAATTTAAAACTACGGGTCCGACACAAGATCTACTTGCCATCGGCCTATGGGCAGGCGCATATTACTCACACAGTCGTCTAGCCCCCACCAGGTCCATAGTCTGGGATGTCACGGAGATCGAAATGACAGAATGCTGACTTTAGACGGAAATATCACATACCTGCATACATGTCATGTGTTTTCAAGTATTATATTGTGTACAGTGACAAGATCTTTCCATCAAGAGTGAGTGAGTGAGTGAGTTGGGTTCCAGTTATATCATGGCGTGTCAGCTTAATGAGGGAGGAAAGCCCGAGGTGATGCAGGTCTCAGACGTTTACCACTTCGGTGAAACCCACGAGCACGGGTATGGTGCTGACAAACCTAGAAACATAATCGGGGCGAACCGGGATTCGAACCCACAATCATAGATTTCTGGCGTGCCCAAAGGACGCAACTCTGCACAGCGAATCGCGGCGCCTTAGACGACTGGGCCTTTTCCATCAAGAGATAGTGATGAGTTTAGATCATTGGGTATCTACATTAGGCAGAGAAGAAGATAGTTTTCTTCAGTTATCCAATAGGTGTTTACATCCTTGGGCCCTGTCAAAAGGGTAGGGCTGGGACGAAGCACCAACTGTGCGATCTGATCCGTATCATGATACCTTGCTCACGATCCGATATGTATCACGATACTTGCATGTGCTCTATCTGTGGGGCATGAGCCATGTTCTTCATAGACAGTGAGTGAGTGAGTGAGTATGGTTTTACGCCGCTTCTAGCAATATTCCAGCAATATCACGGCGGGGGACACCAGAAATGGGCTTCACACATTGTACCCATGTCGGGAATCGAACCCGGGTCTTCGGCGTGACGAGCGAACGCTTTAACCACTAGGCTACCCGACCGCCCTCTTCATAGACAGGATGGCCAAATACTTGGCACACAAACGATTTACAGCTGGCAGTGTCAAGTATGGCACAATGGATGAAAATATTTGCGTTTTCACTACTCATTTTTACTAGTAATTAGCATGATTAGTGTCTATGTAACATTTATTGAAGAATACATTCAAGGTAAGAACCAATACTTTTTACTGTGTGCAATTGTGATCGATACTTGTATCGGGAAGTAAAAAGAATCGCGATTCACCGATCCATCGGTGTATCATCCCACTACTACAAATGGGTATCATGAAACCAATAAATAATTCTGTATAAAATGCTGTTTCAGGTGACATGAATGAGTTCATGTGCTGCATGCTGTAAAAGGCAACTATGCTTGTCGTAAGAGGTGACTAACGGGATCGGGTGATTAAGATCGCTGAATTGCTTGATGCATGTCATGATATCCCAGTTGTGTGGATCTAAGGTCGTGGTATCAATCACTGGATTGTCTGGTCCAGACTCGATTGAGCCCAGAAATTCCAGCCTAGTTTGGCAAGGATGGAAACTGGACTTTTATAGTCAGTTAACTCCCTCAGCTCAGGAAGATGAAACTGGCTGATCAGGTTTCATGAGTATTGAACAATAAGGAAGGGAATATATGGATGTCAACTTCTTTATTTTGTGAAACACAACTTTTCGGAGTACAGTCAAGTCTCGTTAATCCGACACTCGTTAATCCGACACTCGGCTTTATCCGACACAAATGATGGGAACCGATTGATTCAGTGCTATTTAGTCCCGTTAATCCGACATTCTTGCACTCCGACTCCGACACACCTAATTTGCAACGAATTACCGAAATCACTCATTAATCAGTCTCGTTAATCAGACACAGTGATCAGCGTACTCCGTGGTCATCTGCCCGCGAGTACACAGCCAGTGTTTTGACATGCACTGGCTGCAGAGATTAACTTACAATTAACAGGAAAAGCTATTCAAACCTGTATGTACAAAGCTATACAAATGTAGTTTACAAATTGAAGCCAGATTAATGTGCCAGTTTTAAATACGAACAGGTATATAAAACATGGTCGACTCACCATGGTTGACTGGTATGTAAACAAGAAAGCATGGATGACTTCATTAATATTCAAAGCCTGGCTACTGATCTTGGATCGGCAAATGCGATTGGAGCAATGCCACGTGGTATTGCTGTTGGACAACGCCCCATCCAATGCTACTGTCGACATAACTAATGTGAAATGTCACTTTTTACCACCAAACACCACATCGCACATTCAGCCACTAGATGCCGGGATCATAAAGAATTTCAAGCTTTATTATAAGAAACAGCAAATGAAATTACACCTCGCAACCACAAGCCCTAGACGTCAAGCGAGCAGGGGACTTTGAGAAATGTGCCTTCAAAATGTTAGAAACAGAAAACACTGACAGACTATTTTAAGTAGATGAAGCAAGTTGTTAAGACAGTAGCACTTGCATTTACACGAGGAAACGTGTGTCGTTGATGTGATAAATTCAGTGAGTAATGTCTCTATTGTTATGTATAAATGGGAAAATTATTATTATTATTGCACTGTCATTAATTATAAATTAAGGAATGAATGAATAAACAACATAACAATATTAATATTTCGTTTTTAATGATTTTATTACAAGGTACACACGGTTATTTTCTATCGTGAAGACGTCCGATTTTCGATCACAAATGAATTAATTTCGTTAATCCGACATACTCGTTAATTCGACACAATCATGTGCAACCAACGATGTCGGATTAACGAGACTTGACTGTATATGCTTAACACTTAATTAAGCTATCATAGATAAGTAATTGGTAATGGACACCTTCAACAGTGTCCATTACCAATTACTTAGCTATGATAACTTAAGTGTTGACTTCCATTGTCTATTGCTAATCACCTATCAGCGCCAGTCATCTGTTGGCTTCCTTTGTTAGCTTGTACCCTTTGTTATTTTCCACCTTTTGTGATCTTATTAATTTTGTTGTCCTAACATGTACATATATATGCTCTCTGCCTCATTGCATTCATTCACCTGATGGAGTAAGCATATACTCCGAAACATTGTGTTCCTCATAATACAGAAGTTGACATCCATAAATTCTCTTCCTTATGTGTATCACTTCTAAATGCCTTTCAAAGACCTGATGTGGATTAAATGTTAATAAATAATTTATTGTGGCCTTAAGTGTAAGTATCACGTACAAAGATTAATTGGATTAACAATAAATATGCTTGATAAGTCCAAGGTGTACTGAGAACAACATTATCTTAAGGAAACATTTCTTTTATCAATGAAATCACAATATGTATGCATATTACAAATAATTTCCTTCTTGACAAGGTGCTGTGTTTAGTTGCAGTATTCAGAGGGTGGGTTTATGAGCAGTAAATGCAAAGGCATGCCTCAATCACACACACCTTTCACATCACTTCCTCATACTTCTTTAACGTCACTGCCTCACACACACCTTTAACATCACTGCCTCACACACACCATTAACATCACTGCCTCACACACATCTTTAACATCACTGCCTCACGCACATCTTTAACATCACTGCCTAACACACATCTTTAACATCACTGCCTCACAAACACCTTTAACATCACTTCCTCACACATCTTTAACATCACTGCCTCACAAACACCTTTAACATCACTGCCTCACAAACAACTTTAACATCACTGCCTCACACACATCTTTAACATCACTGCCTCACACACATCTTTAACATCACTGCCTCACAAACACCTTTAACATCACTTCCTCACACATCTTTAACATCACTGCCTCACAAACACCTTTAACATCACTGCCTCACAAACAACTTTAACATCACTACCTCACACATCTTTGACATCACTGCCTCACAAACAACTTTAACATCACTACCTCACACATCTTTAACATCACTTCCTCACACATCTTTAACATCACTGCCTCACAAACAACTTTAACATCATTACCTCACACATCTTTAACATCACTGCCTCACACACACCTTTAACATCACTGCCTCACACATCTTTAACATCACTGCCTCACACACATCTTTAACATCACTGCCTCACACACATCTTTAACATCACTGCCTCATACACACCATTGAAATCACTACCTCACACACATCTTTAACATCACTGCCTCACACACACCTTTAACATCACTTCCTCACACATCTTTAACATCACTGCCTCACAAACAACTTTAACATCACTACCTCACACATCTTTAACATCACTGCCTCACACACATCTTTAACATCACTACCTCACAAACAACTTTAACATCACTAACTCACACATCTTTAACATCACTGCCTCACACACACCTTTAACATCACTGCCTCACACATCTTTAACATCACTGCCTCACA